AATTTAAAATAAACATTTGCATTTGAATGCAAAAATGGTACAATCGAATGTTAGGAGTGTGTCAGGGAGCCTCATCAGTGTGCGCGAGATGCGGTGATGATGATGTAAGTGACGTTGCATTTTAATATTTTGTTAGTCTAGCCCAAGAGACGCGCCGCTGCTGTATTATTCGTTCAAAATATTAGAGAAACCGTGTTGGGGGTAACGCATTACTTTTTAATCTACAAGAGAATATCTGAGTTACTTTTTCAAATAAGTAACGCAAGTTACTTTTTTTCCAATTTATTGATTGACAGCTCTCCTGTCCCCATGTTGAGAGAAATCAGAAGATGTTACTGTAGTTCTAAAATAAATATGAATATGCATTAATTCATCTCACTCACAAAGAAAAGAAACACAGATTCAGTATTTCTCAAAATGAATAAAAATAATGCAACTCAGAATATGATGCAAACCTGCCATAATTAAATGTTAAACAACACAAATATCCTTTATGTATTTAATCCCATTCTATTTGCTTCTGACCTTCGATGATCCAGTTCAACCATACTAATAAGCACAAATTACTCTAGACAAACTTTTGTGTCTTTTTTTTATTGCTGAAGTGTGTTGAAATTTCTTCTTCTGCATTCTACTGTACGGACGTAAATTGACTTTCCCTTCAGCCTGAGGCTTATTCATTTCACTTTTGGTGTGAAAGGCTTTTATATTTGCCAAAAATATAACTTTTTTTTTATTTTACAAACAAACAAGCAAGTCCTGTCCAGATTTAAAAAGTAACGTAATGCATTACATTCCATAAAGAGTAACTAAGTAACGGAATTAGTTACTTTTTTATGGAGTAACGCAATATTGTAATGCATTACTTTTAAAAGTAACTTGCTGTAGAGAAATATAGTAGCTCAATGCGTAGAAGATCTTGATTAGGTTAAAACCGAAAACCAAGCCATTCACACAGAACACATATTCAGCACATATTTAGACGGACAAATATGACTGCTGCACTCGCGTCTCATGCAAGAGATGCAAAGAAAGTCATGCAAAGTTAAAACAGTTTTAACGTTTAGAAAACTCGGCGCGAATTTGTCAAGTCAAGTCAAGTCTGCTTTATTGTCAATTCTTCCACATGTACAGCACATACACACAGAGAATTGAAATTGCGTTACTCTCAGACCCTTGGTGCATACAGATAACATAAATACAGATAGGTACAGATTAAATACAAAATACAACTATACAAATATACAAATAAGGTAAAATGTCTTAGAAACAAATAGACGCGACGAATACATACAAAAACACTGCGACTCACAAGACAAAAAACACGAAAACACCTTTCTGTCGGGAGAGAGAGAAGCCGCAACGTGTGAACGCGCCGCCATCTTGGAAACATCATTTGTGAAGGTTTATTTCATTTCACTGCGTCTCATATGTTTTTAAATGCAATCTGTGTGATTGGCGATTTGGCTTTTTGTATTAGGCTAAGCAATGCATTAACACATGATGCTGTTTTGTTCATAATTGTTTATGCCATTTACAAAATTATATTTGATTTCTGTATGTTAATTTAGACGTTATGCACGTTTTTATAGACAGTTATTTGAATTGACAGTTTAAAGAGCTTCATTATTTTGCTCATTGCACCCTCCTGTGGCCTCGGGAAAGTTTCCTTAAGACTTATTTAATCTGCATATAAAACATAAGAAAGGACTGTTAAAAAATAATATATATATATATATATATATATATATATATATGTTTGTTGTTTGTCTTAATAAAGTGGGCAAATAAAAAATACAGTGGTTAAACAACAAAAAAAACAAAAACAATTATATTGCTCTGTTTTATAAAAGGTTAAAAAAAAAAGTCAATAATTATCGATACCGAACGATATGAAACATATATCGTTGATATATTTTTTAGCTATATCGCCCAGCCTTAGTAGAGAGACATTTTTTTCCTATATTTTTCCTTATAGCCTTATGCTAAAATTTACTGTAAATCCACATTTTAAGGCTGATATTCAAAAAATTGCTTTCCCAGTGGGTTATCCCTGTCTCAACTATAAATTATTGCATTGTTTTCTTCATGATATGGTGGTGTATATGGGGAAATGGGTGCAAAGCAAAATGGTGCAAAATAATATGAACTTCGCTTTGCACTATTCCTGTTCTCATAATACTTTGCCAAGGTTGGCAGGTCTGATCTTTCATAATATGCCTTGTTTTCTTCTGAATATTTATGATTTGCTTTAAGGAAATATTTTTTTATAATGAAAGCATCCTGTTGACGCACCAAATTTCAAGGCCCAATCCTGACATGACTCAGCCTGGCTTTGCAAATGAGCTGCATAAAGAGGCAGATTTGAATTTGTAGAAAGTGTGTGTTGTACACTGATGTGTATGCCAATATGTGTGCATTTCTGGATGTGAATATCAATGAATTACTGTGTGTATGTTAACGAGTGTGTGGGTGAAGGACACTGTTGCCATCTGCCCCTAAAAAGCTACTTTATTTCTCATTACACGCTGGCAACAACTACAGGTGGTAAGGAATTAGGCCTCATTCATGTAACCGTTCCACAAACTGATTGAACACACACTCTTCCTGGTTTTTATACTTTTTCTTTAGTCACTATTGTGCCGTTTGTCAAGTCAAGTCAAGACTGCTTTATTGTCAATTCTTCCACATGTACAGCACATACACACAGAGAATTGAAATTGCGTTACTCTCAGACCCTTGGTGCATACAGATAACATAAATACAGATAGGTACAGATTAAATACAAAATACAACTATACAAATATACAAATAAGGTAAAATGCCTTAGAAACAAATAGACGCGACGAATACATACAAAAACACTGCGACTCACAAGACAAAAAACACGAAAACACCTTTCTGTCGGGAGAGAGAGAAGCCGCAACGTGTGAACGCGCCGCCATCTTGGAAACATCATTTGTGAAGGTTTATTTCATTTCACTGCGTCTCATATGTTTTTAAATGCAATCTGTGTGATTGGCGATTTGGCTTTTTGTATTAGGCTAAGCAGTGCATTAACACATGATGCTGTTTTGTTCATAATTGTTTATGCCATTTACAAAATTATATTTGATTTCTGTATGTTAATTTAGACGTTATGCACGTTTTTATAGACAGTTATTTGAATTGACAGTTTAAAGAGCTTCATTATTTTGCTCATTGCACCCTCCTGTGGCCTCGGGAAAGTTTCCTTAAGACTTATTTAATCTGCATATAAAACATAAGAAAGGACTGTTAAAAAATAATATATATATATATATATATATATATATATATATGTTTGTTGTTTGTCTTAATAAAGTGGGCAAATAAAAAATACAGTGGTTAAACAACAAAAAAAACAAAAACAATTATATTGCTCTGTTTTATAAAAGGTTAAAAAAAAAAGTCAATAATTATCGATACCGAACGATATGAAACATATATCGTTGATATATTTTTTAGCTATATCGCCCAGCCTTAGTAGAGAGACATTTTTTTCCTATATTTTTCCTTATAGCCTTATGCTAAAATTTACTGTAAATCCACATTTTAAGGCTGATATTCAAAAAATTGCTTTCCCAGTGGGTTATCCCTGTCTCAACTATAAATTATTGCATTGTTTTCTTCATGATATGGTGGTGTATATGGGGAAATGGGTGCAAAGCAAAATGGTGCAAAATAATATGAACTTCGCTTTGCACTATTCCTGTTCTCATAATACTTTGCCAAGGTTGGCAGGTCTGATCTTTCATAATATGCCTTGTTTTCTTCTGAATATTTATGATTTGCTTTAAGGAAATATTTTTTTATAATGAAAGCATCCTGTTGACGCACCAAATTTCAAGGCCCAATCCTGACATGACTCAGCCTGGCTTTGCAAATGAGCTGCATAAAGAGGCAGATTTGAATTTGTAGAAAGTGTGTGTTGTACACTGATGTGTATGCCAATATGTGTGCATTTCTGGATGTGAATATCAATGAATTACTGTGTGTATGTTAACGAGTGTGTGGGTGAAGGACACTGTTGCCATCTGCCCCTAAAAAGCTACTTTATTTCTCATTACACGCTGGCAACAACTACAGGTGGTAAGGAATTAGGCCTCATTCATGTAACCGTTCCACAAACTGATTGAACACACACTCTTCCTGGTTTTTATACTTTTTCTTTAGTCACTATTGTGCCGTGTTCTGCCATGGATTCAAGGATGCTAGTGTCACCAAGACGAGAGAATAAAACTCAAAATGTAATACAGAGCTGTGAACGTCTGGCACTGTCGTGACGTTTGGACTCTGCACGTGCCCAGTGGGTTACTATTAAGAGGCTTCTTTAGGATAATTTCTTCCAAAGGAAGTCTTCCTTGCTTTCATGGCAGTCACGACAACTCTCTGGCTGCCTGTGACGTCCCGCACATCTGCTTTCATACACTTCTCTTCTTCTGACTGTAACTCTTCTGATGCCTGTTTCTCTTGTGTTTCTGTTTGGGTCTCTCTCTCTGAAGCATAGTGAATGTGTCGGATGATCATTGCACGCTGATCTCTCATTAACATTGTTTCTGTCAGGGTGCTCTTCTGGTCGTCTCTCTCTTCTTGTTTGGGTGTTGTTCGGTGCTCGTTTTATTATTGTGAATGAAGTGATTTTTGCCCAAATTTGTGTGCCTCATTGATTTGAAGGTTAATGCCATGAGACCTTTAAACTTTCACATTACATTTAATTTAGGGTTTACACCAACTGCCACAATAGTAATTTATTTATCCCATATTTTATATCTTTCTGGGTTTATATTAGTAAATGTTGATGTAGAGGTTTAATAGAATGCATATTAGTAGTTGGGGATGTTCAAAACTACGTTTTGTAATCTACAGTTTGTGGATTGGGCAGTCACATGTGTTTTTGTGTTAAAAAATAGCTAGATGGAGCACAACAGACTGAAACGTAGAACATACGAGTCTCAAGACATTTTTTTTTAAAGTTAATGTGTTAAATTTTGCTCAGAAAAGTAGGGCATGTCGCAACAACCAAGGACAATCTGCATGCATGCATAGACCAACTTCAAAAAAATAGTGTTAAGTGAATAAAATAAAAAATATGCCACCCTTTAATAGGGTACCCAACATATTTCCAACAGATATATACAACCTTTTATTGCAAAAAAACTATCATAGTTCTCACAGAAATATGCATATTATATATAAATATGTATATATTTATTTATATAATTTATCGAAATAATATACATATCTAATAAAAATGAGACCATGCATAATAAATGGAACGCTGTTCACAGCAGGTGATTTAAAGGAAATGTTTTGAAATTGTTTCAAGTTTTTTTTTTTTTTTTTTTTTTCGAACTTTTCGAGTAGAATCAAAAAGTGCTATTTGTCATCAAATTATTGGATGAGATCCTTTTATCAATACTATATTTGGTATAATCAGTTACCGTTATTCAGACTGAGCTTCTCAGTCACCATCAATTCTACATAAATATCATCATGTTGTTTAGGACTGTTACATTTTCATATATATTACGACTAACCCATTTTCACACTGATATGTGTGTGTGTGTGTGTGATGTTTGTATGTAAAGCTTGATTCAGATGTCATTTAACAGTGTGATAAAGAAGCATTTTTCATTCATTCCTCATGTTTTTGTTTTGTTTGAACTCAGTCACAGGAAGAAGTTTGTGACTTACTTCATGCTGCTCCATTCCAGAACATCCTCCCAAGAGTCTACATAAAAGGTGAAAAATTTTATTTAAAAACTACAAGATCATGTTCCTCATAATTGCTTTCTGATTAAGAAATCTTTATATAAATTCAGTTTTATGCCTGCTGAAATCTTCATTTAATTATGTATTTTTACAGAGGGTGAGCGACTTGAGGTGAGGATGAAGAGGCTGGAAGCAAAGTATGCTCCTCTTCACCTGGTGCCCCTTATTGAGAGACTTGGGACCCCACAGGTGAGGCACTCACAGATCAGAGCCAACATGCTCATCGCATTTGTCAGTAACACAACATGTATAACACTAGCACATTCATTTTTTATTTTTTTGTATAGAAATATTTTGTAACGTTGTAAATGTCTTTGCTTTCGCATTTGATCAGTTTAATGTATTTTTGCTGAATAGAATAATACATTTCTTTCAGTAAAGTAGTCTGGATCGTTCATCCAGTTTGGAGCGACGTCCTGATCCAGGGGTCTGTGTGGTACCAAATACCTTCCACTTCTTAATAATAAACTTCACTGTGCTTCTAGGAATTGATAAAGCCTTTGAAATTTTTTGTATCCATCTCCTGACTTAACTTTATCCCAGAGATCTTTTGACAGTGCTTCAGTTGTACTACCAAGGACTGAAACGCTCCAGGAAAGCTCTTTTCATGCTGAGCAAATATAAATGCCCACAGCTGATCACAGTTGAAAGTCAAATGATTATGTGTGCCATTGAGAAGGTGATTAGCTACACCTGATTGAGCTTACAAGTCATTTTTAGGAAGGTCTGATCATTTTTCCAACTCTTTTTTTTTTCCAATTCTGGTGCTTTATTTTTGTTTGTTTCTGACATGTTGGTGTTATATCTTTCACTTGGATGTTATAAATTGCACTGAGTAAATACAGCTGGATAAAACAAAAACTGTGTCCGTCTTCATTTTAGGCTGCAAAGCAATAAAATGTGATTCTTTTAAAGGGGGTGATTCTTTTCTATACCCACTGTAATTAGACTGTTTATGCATGCAGTGCAGTACATGATTAGGTTGATTTGGTCCCCATTTTAACAAGTTTTTTTTAATTGCCTTTCATAGCAAATTGCAATAGCACGAGAGGGAGACCTGCTGACCAAGGAGCGTCTGTGCTGTGGTCTGTCCATGTTTGAAGTCATCCTGACGCGCATTCGCAGCTTCCTTCAGGACAGCGTGTGGCGAGGCCCTCCCCCCACCAATGGCGTCATGCATGTGGACGAGTGCATGGAGTTCCACCGCCTCTGGAGCGCCATGCAGTTTGTGTACTGCATCCCTGTGGGCACGCACGAGTTCACTGCAGAGTATGCATATACATTCAGCTGGGATTTTTTGAATAGTTTGTAATTTACACAAAAAATAGCAAGCAAGCACTTGATTTAGGTTCACATCATATAAATGAAATGTTTTGGACTTTTTTGTGTTCAGGCAGTGCTTCGGTGATGGTCTGAACTGGGCTGGATGTGCCATTATTGTGCTATTAGGACAACAGCGTCGCTTTGACCTCTTCGATTTCTGCTACCACTTGCTGAAGGTCCAGAGGCAGGACGGCAAAGATGAGATCATTAAGAATGTGGTAAGTTTCTGATTTCATAGACATGAACTATATTTAAAAATGACAAATCATTGCAGGAAACTCTTAACACCGTTAGCGATGCAATATACACTACTCTTCAAAATTTTGCGGTCAGTAATGTTTCTTGAGCAGTAAATCAGCATATTAGAATATTTTCTGACGGATCATGTTACACTGAAGACTGGAGTAATGATGCTGAAAATTGTAATATTTTCAAATAAAAAAACTATTATTTTAAATTATAATAATAATTCTCAATATTACTGTTTTTGCTGTATTTTGATCAAAAAAATGCAGACTTGGTGAGCATAAGAGACTTCTTTCAATAACATAAAATCATACAGACCCCAAACCTTTGGACGATAGTGTAAATGTGCCAACTTGTAGATATGGGCTTCTGTATTTAATGTTTTGTCATGTAACTTTCAGCCCCTGAAAAAGATGGCAGATCGCATCAGAAAGTATCAGATTCTCAACAACGAGATCTTCGCCATCCTCAACAAATACATGAAGGCTGTGGAGACAGACAGTTCTACTGTGGAGCATGTTCGCTGTTTCCAGCCTCCTATACATCAGTCTCTGGCCACCACATGTTAAATAAACTTTATTTGACTTCCAGCTATCCTATTCTTCCTCTGGTGTGACATTGGTCTCAAATGTAGTGTACAGGGCCTTTCAAGATTGCCTTCGGCTTTATTTAAATAAGAGACAAACCTCCAGTCTCGCCACATGGTTAAAAATCACAGTAGATTTCTCAGTCTTCCCCAGCTGTTATCTAACCCTTATGAATATCAACACTCCCTATCCGTATCACATTTGAAGTGAACCAGTTTGAGAGATTTAGGACTGCCGAAAATATTTCCAGGTCACCAGAGGAAGTTTAAAAAAAATGCTGATTAAGTTCTAGTTTAAAAACAAAAAGTAAATTATAAATGACTTTTGATTATAAATAACTATTAAAAGAAAACATGATTAATGTCAGTTTAGTTTTTTTGTTTTTAACAATGCCCATACAGATTTAATTTATAATAGTATTTGCATGCACAAATCTCATATATCCTAATATTGTTTGTACTGTAATATACAGACCAAAAAGCAAGTGTATGTTGAGTTATTGACAATAATTTCTCCCATTTCTAATTATTTTATGCTCAGAATTGTTATCTTTATTGCATTACAGCACTGGTTTACAGATCTTTGCATTTGTAACATCCATCATTGTAGATGTTGCGGTCGAGAATTGCGTGTAGTACTTGTTCAAATTTTATTGGTACTTAACTGGTATCAGTATTTGCCTCAACTGTTGAAAAGTAACCTCACTTATCTTTTCTGTCAGTTTAATCTCAGTCTTTGGACTGTTAATTTGAGCTATTTTATACACCATAATCATGCGTGAACTAGTGAAGCAGTTCACCGGTGTGAAGTACTAATAACTGGATTTGTGCTGTGATGACATCTCTTTAATCACCTCTTACTGTTACAGACTGCAGTAGTAATACTGCATTACCTTGACCAATAATGGACAAAAAGCAAAAATATGTCGGTTACTAAAATTTCAAATATTTCAGTATTTACCTTCACAGGCCCTTTGCTTCAACAGTGTTAGGCAGATTGGCAAGCATTCTGTTCAGTTTTGTAATTTATGTGGCTGTTGTAAATGTAACCTCATGAATGCTCATCATATTCTGTTATTTCCTGGAGTTTTCAGATTGATTTGAATCAGTTTTTAAATAACCGTTGAATTAAATGGGTATTTTCCAGTAATCTATTTATGCATAAAAGTTGATTTTTCTTGCTCTTGGAAGGGTTAATATGTGAACGATGATGGAAAAAAATGTTTTGACATTAAGGACGTGCTGTTTTAAAAACTCAAAGCATGACAGGTGTAATTTATTGTCATCTATTTGTGACATGAGATTTTTGTTCATATTGTTGTACAAGTGATCATGTTTTGAAATACAAAAAAAGGAGAGAATAATACAATGTACAACAAATGGTTCTGAACAGGAATTATAATTATGTTGTATTTCCATGAAATTAAAAAAAAAAAAAGATCTAACGGAAAATGGCTGGCTGGCTGGCTTTATTTATTTGCATTTAGGCTCAATTATTTAGGTTTTCAAGCAAACTATTGAATTGCAGCAGCATTTTAAGACTGGAGCTCTAGATTATCACAATCAAACATCTTGCAGTTTAATTAATAAAAGTTCCTTCAGGTCCTTTGGTGAATCTATGTTTCGTAAGGAGTCTTGATAATTGATACCAACACTATGAACTGTGCAATGCTCACTTGATGTATTAGCCTCAAATATCTTTAAGAAAGCTTTTTTTTAAGGAGTCTTTAAATATTGTGTTAATGCCCAATTGGTGATTTAATCAGTAAGTTCCTGTCAATTCTCACACCTTGGGAAGATCTGAATAGGATGTAATCAATTGCCTTGTTTTTAAGAACATTTCAGCAAATGCAGGAGGCACTTAGCACTAGATAAACATTTCCCCCACATGGGGACGATGGCACAGCGGGGAATGTGAGGAATCCAGAGTTTTTTTGTTCGTTTTTTCCCAAAACTGACTCCTCCAAGTTTTGAGGATGGTATGAATATTTTGGTCTCTCCTTTGTCGATATGAATACACAACTGGTAAAGTCTGTTTTGTTAGAGCAGGAGTGTTTCTTGAGGCCTCTGGCAGGCAGATGAGGGTGGGGCTTTTAAATGGCACACAGAGTAAATGTTTGCTTTCCATCAATAAAAATGACACCCAACACCCCCAATCCACCAAACAGCTGTGTCCCACAATGGAGAGGACGGAGATGTGGAGGGAGAGAAATGGAGAGGGGCCAGTTGTGACCACTGAATGAGACACAATACCAACTTTACAGACTGGAAAAAAAGAGATGCACATGAATATATTTCTAGGTTAAGGATCTATATTGTAGTATCAATGTCAGAAATATATTTTTAAATAATATTTGCCTCTTAATTTTCAGGAGCATTTACCTCTAAGAAGAGCTGATTCTTTTCTAATCATATAAAAACACAGCTGTGATCAATTTGTCAAATTAAATTAACTGATGTGTTTGAGAATTTGTATTAACCATAAAAACTAATTGTATTTAGATATGCCTGTCTAGACCTAGAATATAGGCCTTTTTGTTACTTTAGTCATTTATTTGCTACTGATTATTCCACATATGATTCCACAAATATAGTCTTTACAAAGGTGATGGTGGTACAGCAAACCCATTAATTATATGCTAAAGGGGAGAAAGAAAGAAAGAAAGAAAGAAAGAACTCTTAGGGTAATATGATAATGTTTTGTAATTATCATATTAAATCTAGCTAATTTTCAAATTTTTTGTCGTAAATAAACATCTCAGAAAAATCGAAATATGACTTTTTGTGGCATCATTTTCGTGCATGTCTTCTGTAGAGGACACCCGGACAAACATCGTGTTAATCAGCTATTTTGGGGAGACACAAGAAGTCAATAGGGAAATAAATTATAGATCTATACCTATGAATTATTTTTTTTTTCTCCATTTGTTTCTTATGCTCCAACCAATGTAATGACAAAAAAAATAAACGTTTTTTCTGGTTCTCAGGTGTCTCGCGGCAGTTAATTGATTGACTCTGTGATTGTGTTGAATGTCTCGCGCTTTGACACTCGTGCATGACTTACAATCGGCCCAGCACGAGCTCATAACCGGAGGGGCGTTTCAGAATCCCAAACACGAAAGCGGGGTTCCGACTTGAAAGGGCCGAATTATTACGAACGCTGTCCATCGTGGAAAAAAAGAACAACTGAAAACAGCAGTCGCGCCCCCAAATAGGCCTACCCCTCTGTCCTGAGATAGAAAAAAGACGGACGGTGTGTGACTTAAAAAGAGACAAAACAAGGGTGAGAAGAATAGCCGGACAAGCCGGATAATGGGGTTATCGGCCGGGTGGGTGGTCAGAATACATTTACATGGCGTTACCCGTGCAAGGCGCCAAGGTCTGGTCTGGTCTGGTTTGGTTTGGAAATAATTGAATAGACAAGAATCTATGGACGCCGACGTCAGCAAAACAAGTCATCATCGTCGTCAGAATGTATGTTTCGGTTCTACTGCACAGTTCCATAACAATTGTTTTAGGCTACATATTAACCGAAAAAGTTGTAGCTTATTTTACCTACCCTTTTTTTTCATAATAATCGTCACTTTCACAAGTCCAACAGATGCACGTTATGCCGAATGTTAATACGTTTAATATTAATATTGATAACCCAAATAATGCAAAACCAAAAAGGACAAAAAGCAAGCAAGTTTGCGCGGTAAACTTTAACTCTATCCTAAAAAGACAAAACATTAAATTAAAATTCACCTTTGCAGAATTAGTTTTTAAAAACCTTTAAAATGTCTCTTTTTTTAAACCATATACCTATTTATTTATAATACTTTATTCCAAAACTAACTCAGATTAATTTGATTGCTGTTAATTATAAAATCAAAATAATGCACAAGACAATAACAATAAACAGCTGATTTTGACTTGGTCAAAGAAAAAAACATCATATTAGTGACACAATCAACAACAGTTGCCTTTGATTGAATATTATTAAATATATAAAATATTAGATAACAGATTGAAAGAAATTCACTGCATTTAAAAAATCGGGGGTATTTTTTCACATTATCAAAGTGAGTTTGGGCCCAAGGCTTTGGTTTATTTCTGACTCTGGCCCTCACATTACAATAATAATAATAATAATAATAATAATAATAATAATGTATGATCAAATTTAGTGATAATTTATTAATTTCTAATATTTGTAGGTGTATTATGGAGCAGACAACCTGCTGTTGGGCCCCAGAGGATATTCCCCCCCAGAGCATCACTACCAGAGTTACGGCCCACCGTGTGATTCAGCAGCTGCGGGAAACACCGGGAGACTCGGAAGCCCAGTGGGAATACTGCCTCCAGCAAACCCCAAAGGATACACTGAGAGCAGCTCCAGTGAACCTGAGTTTCCAGCGCTGAAATCAGTCTACAGACGGACCTTAAGCCACGCCAAGCCACCATATTCCTACATCTCTCTTATCTGCATGGCAATCCAGCAGTCGCCAGCCAAGAGACTGACTCTGAACGAGATCTACGACTGGATCCGCCAGCTCTTCCCGTATTACAGACAGAATCAACAGCGATGGCAAAACTCCATCCGCCATTCCCTGTCATTCAACGACTGCTTCGTGCGTGTACCAAGATCACCAGACTCGCCAGGGAAAGGCTCGTACTGGGCCCTGCACCCTGACTCCGGTAACATGTTTGAAAACGGCTGCTACATGCGTCGCCAGAAGCGCTTCAAGTGTCAGAAGGCGACGTCGCCATCAAAAAATTCGGACGGAGAAGCTGTGAAATCAGAAGGGAAGAAAAAAAAGGTGGAGGTCAAGTCACTCATCTCTTCTTGTAAATCACCTGTGCCTCTTCCGAGTGACACCACAGCTCAGCATTCAAGCATATTACCAGTGTCCTATCCTGCAACCAAAGCACCTTCTCCTTCCCATCTTTGTCAGCACCTTACACCCTCACACACTTTATTTCCTACCCAGCCACACTTGCCCTCTCTTAACGTCCCGTTCCCAACAATGCCCAGTCCCAGCCTGCAGTCTGTCCCGCCAGCCTCTATGGAATCCAGCTTGCACTGTGAACCTTCTTCCCAACACTCCATTTCTGTCCCGCGACTTATGGACTTCCAGTACTGCGAGACTCCTGTGAACTACCCGGTTTACTGCCAGTCCAATTCTCATCCCAACTTCACCTCATATGCAGGAGATTCTGTTTACTACCCTGGATTTAGCATGTGTTCTGCTCCTCTTCTGAGTTCCTCCTGATCAACCTATAGTCTATTAAGGGCTTTAAAAATGGATTCATTTCTGTTTAGAT